GAGGAGCTGATGCCAGGGGCTTAAGTGGAGAGCAAATGTTTTGAGAATGATGAGGGCAATGAATGTACAAATGTGCTTTGTATGTATGGATTGTGATAAGAGTTGTATGAGCCCCTCATGAAATGATTTAAATCAAAAAAGAAAGGGGCATTCTAAATGCAGTCTTGAGTGTGACAGGCCAGCATCCAGACACAAGAGATGGTGGCATCTCCAAGAACTCCCCATGCTGCAGCACATGACACCTGGGAGCTGCAAGTGCCTGCCTCTTGCAAGTCACCCATGGGTACTGTCTTAAAGGGGACACACACCACTGCCCAGAGTTCACGTCCGCTCCCCCACCCCCCTGCCTCCTCAGTGCAACCTTGATTGACACTCATTTGCTCAAATCTATGCATTGTCCCTTTTGGAGGACCCCAATCGGAGTCACCTCAAAAGTGTGGGACGGAGGTGGCCTGGACTAAGCCGAGAATTGAAGCCCTCGAGTTGTGGTGTTGTGGAGAAGAGTGCCTGGCGCAGGGCAGCGGTCAGTCACTCCTTCGGAGCGAGGATGGAAGAATCCTGCTCACTGTGGACAGGGAAGGACGGCTGCTGGCGATGCAGGCCGGGGCCCACGGGAGCCTCCCTGAGATGGACCAGCACAGGGCCACTTGGACCAGGCACACCATGGGCACCAGGGTTCTGCTGGCCTCGGGATGTGTTGTCACGGCAACCATCACACCAGCTGGACGGGGTCTCATGGCAGAGGAAGCGGGGAGGCCTTCAGGGACCCCTTCTCTGGGCGAGCTCTCTCTGCACAGGGAGTGTACTGTGGTCTCAGTTTTTCAGCCCCTGCAGGATACCACCCCACCCCCCAGTTCCAGGGGTGCAGCCTGCCTCACATCCAAGTGCCGCCAGAGGACCTGGCAGACATCCATGCCCTTCTCAGGGGGGCTCTACTGAGACTCAGACAAGTCTGAGGGGTTCTCTGCACCAGCAGTCCAGGCTCTGGCCGACGTGGTTGCTTCTCCTTGGGGACTCAGAAGCCTTTTGCGACCAGAGAAGGTGTCTTCCACCCATGCTGCTGTTCAGGGCACTGCAGTGCTGGACGAAGAGGCTGTTAGATGGGTGTGCTGAGGGGGTGGGGCTGGGGGCAGGGCTCAGCCATCCTCCCTATCCTAGTGGGGACGGACATGCTGGGGTGTAGGGACACTCCCCACAGGGTGTGGGGGGACACTGCTTGTCTGCAGGTAGTAGGAGACCAGGAATTCACATGTCAGGCCACCCGAGGGAGTGGCCTCATACTTCACCGACAAAACCATTCCTAGCAAACTATGGCTTCTGCCTAACGCAGCCAGGTGTCGTTTGAACAATCTGTCATGTAATTTGAAAAGATTTAAAACTT